ATTCAGAGATGTGAGAGGCCACAATCCTCCAGGGGCACCAATGCGTCCCACCCGCCAGAGGTGGCAGTCAGCCGCGGGAATGCTGGGGGTCCAGGGGGCGGAGTCCAGCAGGGAGGGGCGCGGCCCCGCCACCGCGAATGCAGCGGGCAACCAGGAGCTGGCCCCGGCGCTGCCGGGAGCAGACTGCAGGCGGCACTGCGCCGCCGCTCTCCGCGAGGCTCTCTGGAGCCTGAGACCCCCTCGGGCCCCAGCTTAGACCAGAGCTGCGCACGCGCAATGAGCCCTTTTAGAAAGCCGTGAGACAACTGTCCCTATCGTCGCCAGAAACCGCAAGGCCCAGTTCATTCCAGGCTGAGGTGGCTGTTCCTCTTCATCTACCGAACCGAGGGGGCACTTGCCCTCCCTTTCCCTTAAACTATAGTGAAGTCTTTTCACGTTTTCCATGAGACTCAACGAAAGGAATGTTTCTTCTTCCCTAAACCGTGGTAACCCCAGCAAATCGATTCCCTTCAAATTAAGACGGATCCTCCCAACTTTTTCCCCAAACCTGAGGGGGCATTCGGTTTATCTGTCCCAAACTGGGGAGGCCCGTTTCCACTTTTCATTGAAGCTGAGGGGCAACCCACCCCAGTTCTTCCCCAAAACTGCAGTTAACATTTTCTACCTCCTCCTTCAAACTGAGTTATCCCATCCTTTTCCCAGAATGAGGAACACCCGCCTCTCTAACTAGAGGTAAATGATCCCACTTCTTCAAGTTAAATGTAATATGTTTTTACTTCTTGCGCCAAACTGAAAGGGACCCATCTCCCTCCTTTCCCCAAAAGAGGGAAGCCTATCCACTTCATCCACTCAAGGAATCAGGACATTCTCGTCCTAAACTAAGGGGGACCTGGCTGGCCACTATCTGAAGAAACTTAACACCCTGCCTTGCCCTAACAATCCCTCAGGAGAGCGCAGCCTAACCGCCCCTAAACACGAAGAAAGCCTCCCCGCCCTCTGCGCGTTCTCGAAGCAGGGGCGCGAGCTCGGGTTTTCCCGCCGGAGTAGCCAGTGAACTAACGGGATCACCATCACGCCCTCTGAGTGGCTGGCGGTAAGCTCAGCCACCGGTAGTGGTTACCCCCCACCCTGCGCGCGCGCGTCCGGAGACTACTATTGGCTCCACCCCTTTCCTCGGCCCTGCCTCCGCCTGGCTCCGCCCCTCTGCTTCGGCGTCCCGTCCGGCCCCGCCCAGACAGCAGAGCTACTTGGATAGACTCCGCGGCGGGGCCGAGACCCACCGGAGGCGCGCGGCACGAGCCAGTGGCCGAGCCATGGCTGGCGGGGAAGACCGTGGGGACAGGGAGCCAGTATCAGTGGTGACCGTGCGGGTGCAGTACCTAGAGGACACCGACCCTTTCGCATGTGCCAACTTCCCGGAGCCTCGCCGGGCCCCCACCTGCAGCTTGGACGGGGCGCTGCCCCTGGGCGTGCAGATACCCGCGCTGCACCGCCTGCTGGGGGCGCCGCTCAAGGTGAGGGGAGCCGGAGTAACGCTGAGGGCGACCGAGGGTTCAGGGTCGGCGTCATGAAAGCCTTTGAGCGCCCCTCGAGGAGAGACTGGAGCGGGTCCGCTCCTCCAGGGAAGTTTTGGGCTGGGGATCCAAGGTCCTCATTGTCCCGCTTGCGGGGGACGCCTCTCAAGTCGAGGGAAGCTGAGTAAAGGAGATGGGAGCTCGTGGTCTGCGCCACCCAGCTGTCTCTCGAAATGAGGCCCACCTGGGAAAGCTGTCGGGGTCCGCTTGCTGCCTGTCTGCTCGATTAATTGCTCTGGAAAAGTGGCGGTAGGTGTTTGAGCGGTAGCGGAGCTAGGAGGCGAAACTGGGAATAGAACAGCTTTCACCTGCTTCAGGTATGGTGGGGGCGGGACCACGAGAAGGGGCGGACCCGGGGCGGGCCACTAAAGGTGGCTGGAGGCTGGATTGGGTCCTGCCGGATTGAGGGTTTTCCCTGCAGGTGGAGGCCCGGCTTGGGAGTGCCGGCGGAGAAGAAATTTAACGGGGTGAAGGGAGTCCCCAGGAAGCGGCCAGGTTCGGAACACGCTGAGCGCAGGAGGCTGCACTGGTGGAAAAGCCCTCTGAGTCACCGCCTCACTGTCCCGTACAGCCTCCGCCGCCATCGGCCGAGGGCTGGAAGGGAGGGAGCGGGCCCGGCTAATTTTAAACCGCTGGCCTACCCTAGTTTGCCTCCTCCCCAGAGCCGATTCGTGCACAGTGCCGGGAGAGGCCCTTTTCCAGATGGCCGGCTCTTACCTCCCCTCCTGATCTCCAAGCTCAGCCCCCCGCAGGCAGTCCTTTCCGGAGCACTTGGTTTCCGGGCCAGAACTCTGAGAGGCACACTACCAATCCCTTGGGGTGCCCCGCCAGCCAGTCCGCACCAAGAAAGAGTTGATGGAGGTGCCCTCCCCTGCTCCCAAGCTTAGCTGGGTGCCGAGTTGCGCAAACTTGTCCCCCATCCCTGCTCGGGGTCTCCCCTGGAATGTGCCCCAAGCGCCGGGCCCCCGGCCTGCATTCCTAGCGCTGCGGGCCAGCCACGCCTCCCAGCGCGGGCGGGAGAGGTGGTAAGACTATTGGCCTGGGGAGTCGCACGTGTCTGAGTGGAGCCTAGGCTTCAAGGAGAAAGATTGAAGATTGCAGCATATTACCCTCTCCAGAGTTGATGCAACCCCTCCTTGCCCTGCCCTGTTCAAAAGGGCAAACTGAAGTGGACCTAGAAGAAGCATGTTCAGCTAGAGGCCACCTGGAGACAGAGGGGTGCTGAACTGAGGCCAGGTTCCTGCCTCCAGGCTCTTAAAACTCCTAGTACTGAAATAAACCTGGAGCACTACAGAGAATATAGTTTTTCTCCCACCCACCACTGAGGGACAGGATTTAGCGCTAACATTCCTCTTCCCAATGAGGGGCAGGTTTGGGACGTCAGCTACAGGAAAGGCTCAGAACTACCCCTTATCTCTCCCCCTCATGTAGAGACCCACCACCACCACCCCTCACCAGGTGCTCTGTCCTCTGTTCTCTGCTCCCTAGCTGAGGGCACTACTGAGTTCAGATATGTTAAGTCCGCCCCACCCCTCCAACTTGGTCCTTCCTGTTCTCACTTTCAGGATCTCCCACCTGGTGTACCTGAGGACTGCCATATTCCCCACAGTCAGGATATAGCGGCAGACACTGGGTTACCACTGTGCCTGGAGCCAGGACTCCCTGGGGTTGGCAGCTCTGCCAGGAATGGTCAGATGCACTGTGTTGTGCTCATCCCAAATATAAACTATGACCACAGCCCCAGAATAGAAGCCTGGAGGAAGAAGGGCTGAGAATAGGGTAGGGGCAGGGACATCAGAGAGCTGAGGGAGGGGGAGCAGGACCCCTTCTTGTAAGAAATATCAGTAGCTGGTTCCTCCTCTAGTCCTATAAGTGGGTGCCCCAGGGGCTCAGACATGACTCAGGCCTGCCTCCACAGCCCTCTAGAGGGGCGAGGTAGCCCAGAAACCTAGGCATCCCCATCTCAGGCTGTAGAGAAGAAATAAGGAGGGGTTCTCTACTCACTGTCTCATCTTCTGCCCAGTTGTCCAGAGGGGCAACAGGACACAGCCAAGTGACCTCTGCCCTCCCACTCTGGGCGCTGACCCCCATCATCCCTGCAGACCCTGCCTGTTCCCTGGGAATGTACAGAGGCCCAGCCCACTTTCTCTCTGGGGCTCCACCCCACACACCCCATTGGGCTGGGGCTAGTCTCTAGAGTTCCCCTGGGGCTTCCTTTTTAAACGACTCAGAGCTTTCAGGTCTGAGAAGGCCTTGCTCATTTCCTCCCAGTCTAGGAGGAAGCTCCTGGCCACAGCCTCTGACTCATCTCCTGGCCCTGGGGGATGGGGGTGGGGGGTGGCATGGTTGTCCTGGCAGTGCCTTGGGCCATGTGTGGTGTCCCCAGGGGAACTCAGGAGTATCTGTCTCCTCTTTGTGCAGGAGCCTCACTCAGCCCATGGACCTGCCCCTGCCCTAGGGGAGAGCCTGGCCTTCTGGCCTTGCATCTCACCTCTTTACCCAGAGCTGCCCAGCCCCACCTCCCTGCTATCTTTTGCCTTTCTAGGCCTGCTTCAGGAGCCTCTGCCTGGTATCCAAAGGCCCTGCCACATCTGGGATAGCACAGATTTCTTGCTCCCTGGGCTTTGGGCAGAGGGACCTGAGTGCTGCTCTTACCATGTTGTAAAGGCCAGAGGAACCCCCTGCTCCTAGCAGCAGAGATAGCCCTAGAAATCTATTCATTACCAGCAACTTTGTTTCCCCAGCTGTGGCTAAAGATTAGAGTGGAACAGAGGGGGCACATGTTTCATGATCTTGCCCCTCCCTACTCCAGCCTCAATTTACCCCTCAGGAGCAGATGTGGCAAAGGGGCTAAAGTGTGAACCTGACCTTCTGGGACAGGGAACAACTGGAGGGGTTCCCAGGGGATTCTTAAGGGTAAGACTGGGTGCTCTGGTGATGAACTGAGCCCTTTTTTCTTCTGATAGAGAGGTCTCTTTGGGAGACTATACAGGATTGTGATATGGGTATGAGTCATGGCCTCCCAGCTTTCCCTAGGGCCAACATGTCCAATTTGCTGGTCATTCTGGGCTGTAGCCTGTCAAGCAACCCCATGACCTTGATCCTGGCAGAAGTAGGCACTGTTACCCCAGCGTGTATGATGTGTGTGTGTTCATTCGTGTTCCCTCGCTGGAACTGGGAGGACCAGTTTGGGGTATTTGCACAGTCCAGAAAGCTGAGGGGCAGTCTCCAGCCCTTGGCAACCCTACAGGCCCTAGTCCTCACTCCACCTCCCCTCCAGTGTTCCCTGGAACACTTCCAAAGGCCCAAGATCTAGGTCAGTTAGCCCTGGTTCCATTCCTAGTTGTGCAGCCTAAGGCAAATTCACTGAATTTTTAAGACTTGGTTTCCTCACCTGTAAAAGGATTATTGGGAGAATCTAAGGAACCAGGCTGCCCAGTGTGTGACACAGAGGAGGCATAACAAATGAGGGCTTCCCTCTTCAAGGCCCATTCATGTCATCTCATCCAGGAAGCCAAGCCCCAGTTGGAGACCCAAGATAAAAGGGAATGAAGGTCATCAGAGCACAGGGTCTTTCGTTTTTAGGAAAGGAGAAGAAAAAGATAATTAATAAATTATTTTCTAAAATGAGTCCATCATCATATAATTCTGCCCTCTTCTCATTTCCCCACCCCTGCCATGTTCATTCTCACCTGAATGAAAAATATTGGGGAGTAGACACCATGGTCCCCTAAGCTTGGCCCTGCATGTAAAACCATATGTAACAGGTTGGTCTTGGCCTGCCAGAAAAGCCTGAGCCCAAGGAATCAAAAGAAAAGTGGGCTGGGGCAAGGGGTAGGGGATTAAGAGGTACAAACTATTATGTATAAAATAAATAAGCTACAAGGGTATGTTGACAGCACAGGGAATATAGCCAGTATTTTATAATAACTTTAAATGGAGTGTAATCTTTAAAAATTGTGAATCACTATGTTGCATACCTGAAACTTACATAATATTGTAAATCAACTATACCTTAATAAAAATAAATAAATAGAGAAAAGTGAGCTGTAGGCTGAAGTGAGGGGCCAAGCCTGGGAAGAATGGAGGAGAGACTCCACCCCAAGACCGACATCAGAGAAGTGAGGAAGACAAGAGCCAGGAGGGAGTCAGGGTTGTAGGCCCTGTGCTGACCCCAACCATTGTCAGCAGGCACCAGGGTTTGGGCTTAGTCCAGCCTGGCCCAGCCCCAGGGTGTGAGAAACAAGGCCCAGAGGTTTGGCTCTCAAAAGAGTGACCCCAGGAAGGGGCCAAGAGTGTGAGGGACAAGCAGCACCCAGCTGGCAGGAAGTCCCTGCTCTTTGCAGCTTGCCTGACCCTAACCCTTCCCCACCCCACCCCCATCTCCACCCAGGACAGACAGCTGAGGGCAGGAGACACCATCCATCATCTGAAGGCTTTGGTCTGGCTGTTACCTCTGGGTGCCCTCCCCAGAAATGGGGCCCTGGCAGGATAAGACAGGTGAAGTGGCTAGGGAGGCCACTGCTACCACCATGGAGGAAAAGAGGTTTAATCTGCTCATCTGAGCAGACTAGGGGTGGTGGAGTATTTAGTCTTCAGGACTCTGCCCCAAATAGATGCAGGCAGCCCAGGTATTCTGGAAGGAGAGGGCCATTCTTGGCTTACCTGGGATTAGAGCCTGCAAGTGTGCATGCACAAGGGGAAGAGAGCTTGCTGGGCCTGAGCTTTCTGTGGGTGTGCTTCTTGCCTGTGCCAGTAAGCATATGTGTACCTACCTGACCATATACTTGGAAGTGTAAGTCGCTATCAGGTGTAATCTACTTACCCCTCCAGTGTTTACCTTTACAGCTCTCCACCCCTCCCCTTTCTCAGCATTTGTGCCTCTCTGTTTATTTGTGGCCTTTCTCTGAGTCAAGTCTGCCTGCCTCCACCGCTGGGTTGGAAGACAGGGAAGGCAGAGCGGTGTCTTGTTCCCTGCTCTGTCCTCAGCACCTAAAAACAGCCTGGTTCATGAATGTTTTTTGGGTTTGGGGGGTGGGTGGGAATTAGGTTGATTTATTTATTTAATGGAGATATTGGGGATGGAACCCAGGCCCTCATGCATGCTAAGCATGTTCTCTACCACTGTGCTATACCCTCCCCCCCATGAATGTTTGAATGAATGAGCTATTCTATCTGTGTGTGACTTGGGGGATCCCTGAGGGGATTTGTGGCTCTGGGGAAGATGTGTTTCACTAGGGTCCCAGAGTCCTCCAGTCCAAGGTGGAAGGAGATGTAACTGTGCCTGGCTGGGGGCAGGGTGGGTAGGCTGCTGAGTCACCGTGTGGGAAGAGGGATCAGGAGGAATGCGGGGCTGCGCTCAGCTGAACCGGCCCTGGAAGAAGTACCCCAGCCCTGGGGCCTTGCTGCCCCATCTCAGGGCCTGTTCCCAGTAGGCCCTGGAGAGGATGACTCTGCTCCCAGGGAGGAGAGAGAGACCAGGCCCGCCCAAGTCGCCCAGGGGAGGGCAGGCAGCCAAGCAGGAAGTGGGACAGAGAATAGGCTGGAGTGTTTGTCCTATGTCCCATGTCCCAGTGCAGGAGCCAGGACGGGGGAAGGGGGAGGGGATGGTCACCCAAGGGCCTTACAGGCTGAACTGCCAAGAAGGAGCCGGGTCAGGCTCTCAGGCATGAGCAGGGGTACTAAGCAGAAGCAGGGTAGGGGCAGGAACTGGACTCCCTTCATCCCAGGGGACCAAGGGCAGCTGGAAGCCCTTGGGCTGGTTCCAGAGCAGGGCAGGGCTGACAGAACAGCAGGACAAATGTTGGAGTTGACTTTCCCAGTAAGATGGAGACCAGAAGACACACTGCCTCTCCAGACATGGGCTCTCCCTGGGCCTCTCAAGGAATGGGACCACTCAAGTCAAGGGAACTTTGCTGAGCCCTGCATGTGCACTGTGCTATGGAGGAGGTGTCAGGGAGAGGCACGGTGCTGCCCTTAGACTGTCCTAAGTCACCTTACCAGGCTTCTCCACAGGCACTTCTCAAGCAGCCAAGTGTTGTGTTGGTGGTGGTGGGAAGCCAGGCTCAGTGGGGAGGTGACATGTAAAGTGGACTCATGGATGGAGTGTGTGCCTCCTTGTTACAATGCAGGTTTCAGGGACTGTAGGCTGACTGAGTCAGACTAAAATCTGGTGTTTAATAGGCCCCTTGGAGGCCTCTGAGGTCCACCTAGGACCACGGTAACTGTAGCCCACTTGGGGGTAGGGCAAAGACCCTCAGGCCTGAAGGGACTGGGAACCTGTTGATTAGCCCCTCCTTCTCACCCTCTTAACTCAGGAGGACACACATCCCCCTCTCAGCTGGATTTGCTCCTCCCAGCTTCTTAACACTTTCTCCCTGGACTTGGTTGCTTTGTGGCTGCAACTTACCACCCCACAAGTCTGTGAATTTCCTCGAATGCAGGAACTTCCTCCCATCTTCTCTCCATTCCCTTTCCTCATTCATGTTCATTAGCTCAACAACCATTCAGGGAGAACTTACTGTGTGCCGAGTGCTATAATAGACTCTGTGGATATAGCTTGGGCAAGCAGACATGGTGCCTGAACCCAGAAGACACATGGTTGGTGGGGAAGGAGACTCATGTCTAGGATGTGATAACGCTGTGTCAAAGGCCTCTGATAGGGGTACGCACACAGGCTGGAGTGGATTGCTTAGCATTGCCTGGAGGAGTCCAGGAAGGCTTTCAAAAAAAAGCATTGTCTAATCTGAAACCTAAAGAGTGAGTAGGTGTTAGCCAGGAGAAAGCCCTATGAGCTCCATGGGCCTTGCACATAGTAGGCCCTTGAGAACTGATTGCTAAAGAAATGCATTGCTGCAGTGCAGGCCCTTGTGTGTGTCTCTGTGCCAGCACCCTGAGTGGGAGGTAGGAGGTTATGGGGTCTCCAAGCATACTCCTGCCACCTCTTCTCCAGCCCTGACAGCTGTTCCCTTTGCCCCCAGCTAGAGGACTGTGCCCTGCAAGTGTCTCCATCTGGATACTACCTGGACCCTGAGCTGTCCCTGGAAGAGCAGCGGGAGATGCTGGAGGGCTTCTTTGAAGAGATCAGGTCAGAGCTGATGGGGCCAGGAAGGCAAGGCTGGCTCCCACTCTTGCCCCAGTGTTGGAGGGGCTGGCTCAGGTGTTATCAGCCAAGACACCTGATCTCTAACCAGGGCTGTGGGTCACCTCCTGCTGCCCCAGGGAACTGTGCCAGGGGAATCCCAAGGCCTGACCACTGTTACCTGCTGCCTGGGATGGGAGTGGGGGCTCTCCCACATACCTGAGATGCCTGTGTTTGCACAAGCCCTCCCTGGACAACTCTTGGGCTTGGAGAAACAGTTGGAGAGGAAGGAACTGAGCCAGGGTTGGCATGTGGGGAGGTCTTTGGCTGCCTTGGCTGGAGGGGAGGGACCCTAAGGAGTGGACTGGGAGCTGCTGACTGGGTTACTTGATTCTAGCAAAGGGCGGAAGCCTACTCTGATCTTGCGGACCCAGCTCTCCGTGAGGGTCAATGCCATCTTGGGTGAGTGTGTGAGGACATCACTGTCTGTCAACACTTCCCCCATATACACTGCCCCAGTTGGTGCAGTTTCTTTCAGGCCTGTTCTGGGCAGTCGACAGGACAGATAAGAGACAGGATGTGTGACCCCTCTCATTCCTATCCTGACCTCTCCTTCCAGGGCTGAGGCTGATGCTGCTGCTAGACTGTGGTGGGGTTGCCCAGAGTCAGGGAGTGGAGGAGGAGGTGGGGGTTCAAAAGTACTAGCACACTAGCATATTCTTTGGTGGAGGTCTGTATCTGTGTCTCCTTGAGGTTTCCATACCCACCTACTCCTTGCAGAGAAGTTGTATGGCTCCAGTGGCCCTGAGCTCCGCCGCTCCCTCTTCTCACTAAAGCAGATCTTCCAGGTGAGGCCCGGAGGTGGGCTGGGGGTGGGCATCCAGGCTGAGCCCCTCTAAACTCCTGCATGGTGCCCTCAGGAGGACAAGGACTTGGTGCCTGAGTTTGTGCATTCGGAGGGGCTGAGCTGCCTAATCCGTGTGGGTGCAGCTGCCGACCACAACTATCAGAGCTACATTCTCCGAGGTCAGCCCCATCCCTTCCCCATGACCCCTGCCTTCAGCAATCCTTTACTGACCTCTTCTTGTCGCTGTATCCCCAGCACTAGGCCAGCTAATGCTTTTTGTGGATGGGATGCTGGGTGTGGTGGCCCACAGTGAGACCGTGCAGTGGCTGTACACACTGTGTGCCAGCCTGGTAAGTGGCCCTCCACTCAGCCATGCACCCTTTCCCACTGCCTCTTTCTGGGCCTCAGTTTCCTCTTCTGCAACGTGGGCTAGAATGGAGTAAGTCTGTGGCCCCTCTAAGTGTGGAAGGCACTTCAACACCTGGGCCTAGAGCCAGGTCCTTCTGCCTAGACTCTCAACCCTGGTCCAGCCCCAGGAGCCCTTCCCCCTCCCCATCAGGAGCTAGCACAGATCTGGCCCAAGCCCCGCTCATATGTGGTGACCCCTCTCTCAGTCCCGCTTGGTGGTGAAGACAGCCCTGAAGCTGCTGCTGGTGTTTGTGGAATACTCTGAGAGCAACGCACCGCTGTTCATCCGTGCAGTCAACTCTGTGGCCAGCACCACGGGTCAGAGACTGTCCCTCCCTCCCCCACTGTTCAGAGTCCTCTTTCCTACTTGTCCCCACATGACTGCTCCCCTTTCTGTGTGGCAGGTGCTCTTCCATGGGCCAATCTGGTGTCCATCCTGGAGGAGAAGAATGGTGCGGACCCTGAGTTGTTGGTGTATACTGTCACCCTCATCAACAAGGTCGGGTGGCGGGAGCAAGGGGAGAACTAAGCACCAATTCTGAGCCCCTCAGGCTCCTGACTTCCTGTTCCCATCAGCTTTAGCCTTGCCCTTCTACCTCACCCTCTAGACTCTGGCAGCGCTCCCGGATCAGGACTCCTTCTACGACGTGACAGATGCACTGGAGCAGCAGGGCATGGAGGCACTGGTCCAGCGCCACTTGGGCACCGCTGGCACAGATGTCGATCTGCGCGCGCAGCTTGTGCTCTACGAGGTGGGCTGTACTGGCTGGGGCCGGACTGCTGGCGAGAGGAGGGGAGGGAGGGGGAACGGGTGCAGATCAGTGCCCCATCCCACCTACTTGGGCCTCAGCCGCTCCCATCTGGGCTCAACTCCGCTAGAATGCCCTGCGGTTGGAGGATGGAGACATGGAAGAAGCTTTCGCAGGTGGGCGGCGCACCACTCGCCGAAAGCCTTCTTCAGAGGAAGGCAAGAGAAGCCGACGATCTCTAGAAGTGCGCACCCCAGAGCCTGGGTAAGAGCTAAGGAGCCTTGGCAGATGGGAAGGAGCGGATCTGCCAGGAGTAGCTCTGCCTCCTGACAGGCCACGCCTCCAGCTCCACAGGCCCCGCCTCACCGATCGTCTCCATCTCCTCTGCCGGCCCTGCCCTGCTGTCAGGTCCCGCCTCCAGCCTCATAGGCTCCGCCCCATCTACAGGCCCCGCCTCCAGTCCCGGGGGCCAGGCCTCTGGCCTGCATACCACCGTGAGCCTCTTTCCTACCATTTCCGTGGCGCCCTCATCCGACAGCTCCTGTGAGAGGAGTATCTACAAGTAAGCAGGGAGATAGAGGCTGTCCTGGGAGTTCTTTCTCCAACTGTCCCTCCGCTCTGCGCCCCTCCACGGGCCCTCCGCCTCCTCTGCCCAAACTTCTCTGCCCACACGCGTGCTTTCTCTCTCTTTCTTTCCAGACTTCACCAAACTGCTCCTGTTTGGTAAGTGACTGCTGGGGGGTGGGGTTCGGCTCCGACTGGACCTCCTCCTCCTGTGGCTTCTCTTCATCTCTTTCTGGCATTCTGCCTGTCTTTGCCAATGTCATCTGTTTCCCTACCCACTTCTGTCTTTCTGTCTGTGTCTGTCTGTCTCTCTCTCTCTCGTTCTGCTCTTCTACTGCACTCTGTCTTGTGTCATGTCAGTCTCTCCCCTCCACTTCCACTTTCCTCACGTCTAGCCTCCCTCATCACCTCCTCTTCCCACCGTGCCTGGGAAGGAACCCCTGATATCACCACTTAGCTCTGTGTGGGTGTGAGCAACTGGGCTTTGGGGTGGACCAGGCACCACTATTGCCAACTCTTCCTCTCGTCCCCCCCACCCAGGGCCCCTGAGAACCCACCTGTCCCCCAGTCCCCCACTGGGCAGGCCAGGCTGGAGTAAGTACAGAGGCCAGCCTGCCAGGCCTGCCATGTGCTCAGGGCTTCAGCATTGCTTCCCCCAGCGGGGGTTATATGTGCCTGATGCAGCCAGAGCTGGGGGGCTCTCAGGCCCTGTTTCTCCCAGACTGATGCCTCCTTGGTTACCCAGGAGCACTGGGAAGCAGTTCACTGGGGCCACAGAGGTTCCTGTGCTTCAATGGTGACAACTTAACAGCTTTGGCCAGCGATGAGAATGTTGACTCCCAACCTAGAGCTGATTCTCCTGTGTCCTCAGCCCAGGATTAGGGCTGGGAGGGAATCTAGGGTGCTGTGTGATGTGGAGGTGGAAGAGTAACTTCCAGCTAAGGGAATGATAAGGGACTGAGTGCCAACAGAGGCTGAAGAAGCCAAGAAGGAAACAGGATCACATTCATTGTTTTAACATAAACTGAGTGCCTGTTGCTTACCAGGCCCTTTTTGGGCATAGACCACAGCTCTCAGAAGCTGCCAGACATGCCAAGGGAGGAACAGCATGGTGTGCCCATTTGGACAGCTGTTCCCTTCCCCTGCTCTAAGTGTCCTTGTCTAGAATCAGAACAGCGAACATGAATAGCAGCACAGTTGCAAATTAAATGTGAAGTAGAACTTCTCCCCACATGTTGACCTGGGAATACTGGGTTGGTAGTGACCCTCCCCAGATGTGGAAGACTGAACATGGAGAGGCTGGCCTTGCAGGGCAGGTTCTGGGTCTGCTCAGCGCATGGACTGTTCCCTGTGTGTCTGTGTGTGCCTGCAATTAGGGGCAGTGCCTAGGGGCCCAGCAAGGCATGTGCACCACCCTGGGCTGGGGTGTGTCAGACACCCTCACTGACACGTGCCTTCCCCTAGAGCCCGGTTCCTGGAGAATGTAGCAGCAGCAGAAACAGAAAAGCAGGCTGCACTGGCCCAGGGCCGGGCAGAGACACTGGCTGGAGCTATGCCCGAAGAGGTCGATGGGCACCGAGGTAAGTAGGTGGGTGGGCAGAATTCACCTAGGTTGCCCTGTTGCTCCGCAGAGGGCATGACACTGACAGCTTCTTCCACTTTTTTAGACACCCTGGAACTACGGGGCTCCCCAGAACCAGCCCCTGCACCCAGAACACCCCAGAGTGCTGCCCCCCGAATCCTGCTCCGGGCCCAGCAGTGCCTTGAGCCAGAGCCCAAGGAGACTTTGGCCCCACCAAGTCCCAAGACTGAGCCCATTCAGGAACTCCGTACCCATGTACCTAAGCTCTGCATTGGGGATCTGGACTTCTCAGATCTGGGGGAGGATGAAGACCAGGACATGCTGAATACAGAGTCTGTGGAGGCAGGGAAAGGGGTCCCACCCCCACCACCCCTGATCTCTGGAGGCCCCCCACCTCCTCCACCCCCACCTCCCCCACCCATCAAAAGCCCCTTCCCACCACCTCCACCCCCAGTTGCCCCTCTTCCTCCTTCAGCACCTGATGGCCTAGCCCTCCCCACCAAGAGAAAGACAGTTAAACTCTTCTGGCGGGAGCTAAAGTTGGCTGGGGTCCATGGAGGCTCTGGGAGCCGCTTTGGGCCCTGCCCTACCCTGTGGGCCTCACTGGAGCCTGTCTCAGTGGATACAGCCCGGCTAGAACACCTGTTTGAGTCTCGAGCCAAGGATGTGCTGCCTTCCAAGGTAATCACACCCTTATCCAGGGGAGAGGGGAGCAAATCAACTCAAGGGTCTGAGTGAGTGGGGCTGCCACTCATTTCCCACATGGGGAAACTGAGGCAAATAAAGGAGTAGGGGCTTGTCTGAGGTCCCTTAGTAAGGGATCAGCCCATCCCAAAGCCTTACACATCCCAGATCCCTGGTTGTGGAATGATCCCATTTGGCTACTGAGAATGGGGCCTTGGTTACCCTCTTAGATTGTTGCCATAGCTAGTCCCTTTCCCAGTCTTATACTGCCCTTCTCCCAACTTCAAAGAAAGCTGGTGAGGGCCGCCGCACAATGACCACAGTGCTGGACCCCAAGCGCAGCAACGCCATCAACATCGGCCTAACCACGCTGCCACCCGTGCACGTCATTAAGGCTGCCCTGCTCAACTTTGATGAGTTTGCTGTCAGCAAGGATGGCATTGAGGTAGGGATAGCCAGCTAGGGGTGTGGGAAATCTGGCCCTTTCCTTTGGTCATTGGGCATTTCCTGTCCCTCCAGTGGTGGGCATGGGCTTAGCATTTCTGCAGAGCAATCCTCGGACTCTGGGACTCCCCCACATGACCTAGGGAGGAGTGAACACCAATACCTGAAGCCTCAGGCCAGTGCTGAGTGGCCTATATGGGGTGGCGGGTGCATTCTCAGAAGCTACTGACTATGATGCCAACGGAGGAGGAGCGGCAGAAGATCGAGGAGGCCCAGCTGGCCAATCCTGATATACCCCTGGGCCCAGCTGAGAATTTCCTGATGACTCTCGCCTCCATCGGGGGCCTGGCGGCTCGCCTACAACTCTGGGCCTTCAAGCTGGATTATGACAGCATGGAGCGGGTACCTGGGTCATGGGGTGGGACAGGCAGTGGGGACAGGAGAGCATAATGACCATGTAGTCTGAGTCCCTGACCTCCCATACCAGGAAATTGCAGAGCCACTGTTTGACCTGAAGGTGGGAATGGAACAGCTGGTCCAAAATGCCACCTTCCGCTGCATCCTGGCCACTCTGCTGGCTGTGGGCAACTTCCTCAATGGCTCCCAGGTGAGTGAGAGCATATAAGGGCAGGGGCTGGGGCTCTGGAGCCAACCAGGCCCAGGCTCAGATAGGGTCCTTTCAGAGCAGCGGCTTTGAGCTGAGCTACCTGGAGAAGGTGTCAGAGGTGAAGGACACGGTGCGCCGACAGTCACTGCTGCACCATCTCTGCTCCCTGGTGCTCCAGACCCGGCCTGATTCCTCCGACTTCTACTCAGAAATTCCTGCCCTGACGCGCTGTGCCAAGGTCAGCACCTGCCAGAGGTTTGACTATAACCGGCCATGGCATGAGGGAGCACTGCTTCTCCCTAAGTGGACTGCCGTTCCAGTGCTTGCTCAGGATACAGGTGTTCATGTGGGCTGTGTCCTCTGCCGTACATACTCTTTTCCCTATTGGCCTGGCTACCCCTACTCAGTCTTTGGTCCTGTTTAGCTGCCACTTATCCCAAGAAACTTCTGTTACCCACTGCATCAGATGGACTTGTCTGTCTCCTGCAATAGACTGTGAGCTTTTGGAGGACAGGGGCCAGATCTTGGCTGTCTGTGTCCTCAGGGCCCAGGCTGCCAGCCTGGCACAGAGGCAGTCTCAGGCAGTGTCCTTCTGTAGGGGAACAACATGTGTACCCTCTTCTTTTCCAGGTGGACTTTGAGCAGCTGACTGAGAACCTGGGGCAACTGGAGCACCGGTGTTGGGCAGCCGAGGAGAGCCTGCGGAACTTGGCCAAGCACGAGCTGGCTCCAGCCCTGCGTGCCCGCCTCACCCACTTCCTGGCCCAGTGCACCCGCCGTGTTGCCATGCTGAGGGTCGTGCACCGCCGTGTCTACAACAGGTGAGGTGTGGGCCAGAGAGAGAAGGGACTGCCACCACCATCCCTCAAACTCCAGGCAAGACTCACCATCCCTCCCCACCCCAACCTGCTTAGGTTCCATGCCTTCCTCCTGTACCTGGGGTACACGGCAGAGGCAGCCCGTGAGGTGCGCATCATGCAGTTCTGCCACACACTGCGGGAGTTCGCGCTGGAGTATCGGACTTGCCGGGACCGGGTGCTGCAGCAGCAGCAGAAGCGCGCCACGTATCGTGAGCGCAACAAGACCCGGGGACGCATGATCACCGAGGTGGGTGTCCCTTCCAGGTCTTGACTGATATCCCCACGGTTTTTTTCCCTCTACTCCCAACTCACCCTTTTCGCTTCTTCAGACAGAAAAGTTCTCAGGTGTGGCTGGGGAAACCCCCAGCAATTCATCTGTCCCAGTGGCTGTGAGCAGTGGGCCAGGACGGGGTGATGCTGATAGTCATGCCAGCATGAAGAGTCTGCTGACCAGCAAGCCTGAAGACACCACACATGGCCGCCGCAGCAGAGGTGGGACCTGGGGGCCACTGGGGGCAATGAGCTGGGGCCACCCTGGGCTGACCTCCCTATCTGGCTCCCTCAGGCATGGTCCAGAGCAGCTCCCCAGTCATGGCTACAGCAGTGGGGCCCTCCACTGTGCCCCAAGAAGAATCTCTGGGCTCCAGTTTACCAAGTGACACTTCAGATGAGATCATGGACTTGCTGGTGCAGTCAGTGACCAAGAGCAATCCTCGTGCCTTAGCTTCTCGAGAACGCAAGCGTTCCCGTGGCAACCGCAAGTCTTGTGAGTATTCCCCGCATGCCCACTGCCTGCCTTAACCCCATCACTCCCTCCAACCCTGCTCTGTCCTTGCAGTGAGAAGGACGTTGAAGAGTGGGCTTGGAGAAGATCTGGTACAGGCACTGGGACTGAGCAAGGGTCCTGGCCTCGAAGTGTGAAGGCCCTGCCTGCAGGACATGTACTAGGCCCCAGCCTGCAATGCAGGAGACTACACTGAAGAGGGACCAGAGGAGATTCTGGGCCTTTTCTCAAGGGCCACTCTGTGTTCCAGTGGCCAGCGCCGTGAGCAGTATTAGCTATGTGTGCCTGTGTGAGTGTGTGTGTGTGTGCATGTATGAGCTCCCTGGATGCATGGAGCATAATAAAGTTTTCCTAGCCAATTCAAGAGCCTTTTTCTTCAAGGTACCCACCACGCTGGGTCTGTAGCAGAAGGAAAATACCAAGAACTGGCTCTCCCCACCTCTCTCTCATTATCACCCACACAGCCATTAGCCACATTCTGAGCCATTTATTCAACAATCCTATACTTTAGATTGCTTTTAGCCCCTGGACTAAGCCCTCATTGCTCCCGGCATGGGGGCCATGCAGCCTGATAGAGCCACCCAGGGCCCAGAAGCCTGTGGCCACAATGTCAGTGGCTATAAACGCTTCATCTGCCGCCGCTCCTGTCGGCGCTGCCGTTTCTCGTTGTGCTCTGGCGCTGGGGCGCCACCGTCTGCTGTGAACCAAGGGCCCAGTACATTCACCCACAGGAGGTAAAGGGCTCTGCCTGGCGCCTAGGAGAGAAAAGGGTAGCCTGAAGCCAAGTGCAGGAAATGAAAGAAGAGAAGGGTTAGATGCCCCAGCTCCTCCTTGGGAGTCCCACAACCCACATACCAGAAGCCAGAAGGACCAGATGTAGAGGGAGAAGCAGCTGAGCACCTGCACGATGGCTGTCAGTAGGATCACATCCTTAAGGTGCCTATGGATAGAAGGGAGGCTGCAGGGGCCAAAAATAGTAGGCCCCCGTTCAACTCTGTTCCACCCTCTTCAACTTGCAGGAAACTGTGGGTATTGGGCTATCTGGGCCCCAGCACCCCAGCCCTGGGGCCGCTCACCTGGGCTGGCAGCGGGGGACACTCACTCTGCCATGCCCTGCTCCATGTTGAGATCCATTCCACCATCCATCAGGGCCCCATCCTCAGAGAAGGCTGCCCTTGCCATTGAGCTCATAGAGTGGTAGCTGGCCCCATAAACTGCCAGACTAAAGGCCAGGGCCATCTGCAGACCAAGAATGGGGGTGTCAAAAGGCCAGTTACTGACCCTGTGCTTATCCACTTCCCAGGATTGGGGACACTTACCCAGGCCCAAAATGAAGCCGATGAGTAGAAGAAGACCAGGGTCACAAGACAGTAAATAGCCTGTAAGCAGACACAGGATCAGGCTGGGATCAAAGGCTTACTAAACCATGGGACTTCCTCAACTCTGACCAAGATATTAGATCAGGCTATGGAAAGACAAGTTGTTTCTTATATAGAGTTGGGGGAAGAAGGGTCTGCTCCCTGAGTATCCAGATGCCCTTCTGACACGTTAAGCCAAGAAAGAAGCCCCTCTATATTTGGGATGGGAAGGGTTTTGACTATTTAGCACTTTCTCTGCCAGGATCCTTTCTCATTTCTTTTTAATTGGAGTTTTCTTCTGAAGCCGTGGCTATCACATACCACCACCACTCCACCCTACCAGAGCTGAGAACTGGGGGGCCTTGGGTGGGGAGAAAAGCAAGGAGGCAGGCACTTACATTGGCCCCCAGTATGATCCGCAAGTAGAACTTCAGGGTCTCTTTGTTCTCTTCAAATATCTGCTTCTTCCCTCTCGTGCCCACTTTGCCCTTGGGCTGCAGAGAGATGGTGAGATGCTGTCAGAACCCTTCTTAGCCAGGGTCTTCCTTATCCTCCCTACCATTCTGGTTAGCTAGAATTCCAACTGTACCTTAGCCAGGTCCCCGTGGCGCTCAAACCTAGCACAGTTCTTGGGATGTCCACCCCTCCTCCAATCCAACCTGCTTAGGGCTGACACCATCTTTCTAGCACACCCAGAAATGACTGCCTCCTGCTCAGGCTATGAACAATCCAACATTAGGCTGATTATCTCTTGGATCCTCTAATAAGGTCCAGTTTGGGGCTAACAAGCCCTTCGAGGGGATTCCTGAGTGTGGCTGAATGGTAATCCTTTCTGGACTCTGTCAGAGTAGACCAGATCTGCGCTGACGCCTACCCCACCTCAGGCCCCTCAGATCTCTGGCTATCCCTTATACTGTCTGGTACTGTCGCCCAGCGCCCCTCAGGCCCCTCAGATCTCCGCCCAGTCCTAGTACTGACACTGACGCCCACCCCTCTCCAGCACCAGCTCTCCAGCTACGCCTCTCCACTCCCCACCTAGCTCTAGTACGGTCCGGCCACTGGATGGCACCCCTCTCCGGCCGACCCACTTTCCTTGATGTCCTTCCTGTTTTCAGTCTCCTGGCCCCGGGAGCTCTTTGCCGATGCGGACTCCGCCCTACCCGCCCTACCCAACCTCCTTACCGCCATAATGCAACTCAAATACCCAGCCGAGGAAAGAAGGGAGAGCGATCGAAACTGCAGTCAGTAGGTACCACATAGGCAGCACAGACACTTCCGGTGCAGACCCAAATCGTCAGCAACTGGGACGGAAATGAGGGGTCCACTTCCTTCCCAAGCTCCGCCTACCAGAATCCGTGGGACTACACTTCCCAGAAAGCTTTGCGCGGGGGCGGAGGCGGCAGGGATGCGATGGCGGAGTCGCTGCCCCTGGAGGTGAGAGGAGGTCGCCCTCAGGCCTAGCTCGGGACAGGCCCAACCTCGGGGTCCCGGGCTGTGGGGAGGGGCTGCCAGACAGCTCGCCCGGCCTCGCCCATCTGGCGGAAACCACCCGCCCGGGAGACCCCAGGACCTGCAGGCTATGGGTAATGGCCCCACTTTTGGGCCACTCCATCCCCTTAGCTTGGGGGACCATCCTCTCCTTCCCCATTGGCCCCAAGAGATGGCTGCTCTGTCACCTCAGCGAGAACAGGGCCTCTGCCTAGCCCCCTTCTCTTGAGATGGCCGCCCCTCCCCCTCAGTTCTGGAAGATGTCCGCTCCATCCCATCATCTCCGCAGGGTAACCGATCTTACCCCTACTGGCCCCTTGGGATGGTCGTTCCATTCCTTCCCCGAGAGAGGCTGCCCCCTCCCCTGGCGGTGGGAGACAGCCCCCTCCCATCAACTCCAGGCATGATCTCTGGGTTCCTTCACCAAAGACAAGCCTGCTCTTCATTCCCTTGGCCCCTGATGATGGGGTCTACCACCTTATCTCCCATGGGGTGCTTGCTCCCTCTCCTTAGCCTGGGGCAAGACCACTCTGCCACCATTGGCCAGAGAGAGATAACAGGTTTTGTCCCCAGTGGCCTTTTGAGATGGCCTCTCCATCCCTTTTGCCCAGAGTTGGCAGCCCTCTCCCACTGCCCATGGGAGACAGGTCACCCTTTCCCTATTGGCTCTTGGAATGGTGCTCCTTCCCTTTAGCAAAAACAGCACTGCTGCCACCTGGGTGAACCCCCTGCAATGGCATCCTTTCCCTCTTTGGTCCCAGAGGATATCTGTTCCATCCTCATAGATCTCAGAGATGACCAGTCATATCTCCAATAGCTCTTTGGGATGCGGTTCATGGGATGGCCGCTCCATCCTCATCACTGCCTGTTCTGGTCCTCTAGAAAGGCCTCCCCACTTCTCAGCTCAAAGAATCATGTTTTCTTCCCTCAGTGAGGACAGGTTTATACCCTCCCTTTGCTCCTTTGGTTAGCTGCTGAGCCCCAGAAGACAGAATGGCCACTATCTTATCTCTGCTCAGACAGGTTTTCCTACCTTCCCCTGGGGATAGAGGCTTGGTCAGTCTCAGTCGCCATCTGTGTTCTCTTCCCCATGCCTAGCCTCCCTGGTCCAGAGGCTGTTCTCCTCAGTCATTCTCCTCTCAGTAATGATCTTCTTTATCTTCTGACTACTTCCTTGTGCAAAGCTTTGGTGAAAATAGAAATAGAGGACTTTGGTGAAAGTAGAGCTAAAGGACTGTCCATCATTAATTCAATCCAGTAAGTATTGGCTGAGTACCTTCTGTGTACTAGGGATCAGAGAAGGGAAGAAGAGATGAGAATGGACTGGTGAGGTCAAGATTAAAGAAAGGCATTCCAGGAAAAAGATCCACATAGGCAAAAGGAAACAGACATGCTGTGTTTGTAGGACAGTGAGGAGACTGGCTTGTGGAAGCTCTGGGATCGAGGGTACAATCAGACATGGAGACCTGGCAGTGCTGACCTGAGAGCAAAGATTTTGTCTTGAGGGTACTGGGGAACCCTAATGGTTTTCATTAGGAGTGCACTGAGACTGAAAGCTGTCTTTTAGGAAAATTAACCATGTTGCAGTGTGCAGAATGGTTAGTAAGGTTGAGCCTGGAGGCAGGGAGATTGTGGAAAGAATTCAGGTCTGGGGTGATGAAGATATGGGCTACTAAGTGGTAAGGTTTCAAAGGTAGAAATATTATTAACAGCAACCTAGCAACCACTTACAGAACATCTACGTGTCAAGCATATCATATCTATTAAATATATACATATATATCATATCTATTACATATATATTATATTATATACAATATAATATATATACACACATTTTACAGGTGTGCAAACTGATGTTCAAAGTGGTCAGGTACCCTGTCTGAGGTCACACAGGTCACACAGCTGGGAAGTAGTGGAGCTGAGATTTGAATGAGTCTAAGTTAGCCTGGCCTAAAGCCTATGCCTTACACCTGCATCTGAGAGCAAGGGACAGAATTTTTAGGTGAGATGCACTGTTGGCACTGAAGCTCAGGGGCTGGAAAGCTGGGAGGAGGGGCTGCTTTGGACTGAGGTTGAAATGAAGGTGATGGTAAAACATTTGGATGAAGGATCCTGTGGACAGTTGGCAAATACTAGACTAGCACATGTATGATAAAACAATATGGCGATATTGAATTGTTGGTTATTTCTACAGAGGTAACTGTTAAAGCCATGCAAATGAATTTACTGTCCTAGAAAGTAAACAGATTGAAAAATCCAGGTTTGAGCCCTGGGAGCCACAGAAGAATCCAGAAACAGGGTAAATGGAGGGGTGAGTCTAACCCTAGAAAACACAGTGACACAGGCATCAAGGAGGGAAGATTCCAGAAAAAAAACATAGTTAATATCAGATCATTCCTGGTCTCACAGGCAACTCCATTCCCTAGTCCCTACTAGGGCCTCCAACCCCCATCCACCCCCAGTCTCATGGAGCTTAGGTGGAGTGAGGGCCAGAGCCTCCCAGACTGGGTTTGGCTGAGATCATATCTTAACAGCCAGCTGAGAAGGTGAGTTGGCAGTGAAGAAGGTGGGAAAAGAGTACAGTCCCATTGTAGCTTCCTAAAGATCACAGAAGGAGCACCTGACTTACTATGTTCTAGATCCTACTCAAGACACTCTACCATGTTATTTAATTGTCAGAATAACCCATTTAAACCTCACTACAATTGCCATTTTACAGACAAGGAAAACAAGGCTCAGAGAGGTCAGTTGACAGAATAAGGATTTGAACTAGGTTTACCTGGTCCCAATGCCCAGGCTGTTTTTATATCATATTGAGCAGGAGGTTTTATTTTTATCAGTCAGTACAAGCCTGCATCCAGACAGTGCTCAGGAAAGATTTCACCTAGAGGCTAGAGAGGGGAAGTGAAGACTCCATGAAGCTTAGGATCCAAGATGAACTAGAAGCCAGTGCTCTTAACCCCTCTGACCTACTGTGTTATCAGCTGGAGAAGGTTCCACAGGCCCCCAGCTCTAACAGCCCCCAATGCCCTGTCTTTTTCCCTCAGATACTCACATATATTCTGAGCTTCCTGCCTCTGTCAGATCAGAAAGAGGCCTCCCTCGTGAGTCAGGCCTGGTACTGTGCAGCCCAGAATGCCCTTCGGGAGGTAAGGCGCCCACCCTCACTTGGCCCATTCTCAGTTGTCTCACTTCAGCTTGCTCATGACCCTGCTCATACGTCATCCATCCATTCATCCTTGTGTATATATTCATATATACTTGGCTCTGGGTACAGTTCTGGGACTCTACAGATGAATAAAACATATCCTTTCCTCTGAGGAGCTCATAGTCCAGTGCAGGAGAAAGATACATATGTGAGTGATCATACATCGTGTGCTCAATGCTGACACTGGAATGAAGGGTGCAGTGGGGACATTTGGAAGAAGAACATCGGAAGGAGACTGGCAGCACCAGGGAAGGCTTCCTGAAGGCACAGGATGAGGGAAAAGGTTGGTCTTCCAGGACTAATAACAGCACAGGTGAAGGGACTAAGGTGTAAAATAGTTCTGGAAACAACCAGCCAAGTTCCCTATGACTAGAACTTAGATGTGCGTGGGAGAAGTGCCAGGAGAAAGAGGTCAGATAGCAAGTTGGCAGATGTGCCCCGCCAGCAGCATTGCTGGGGCTTTCTCCTGATTCCCATCATGGGGCCTTTAAAGGAATGTTACCATGGAGAGTGCCATGGGGTCATTTGTGTCTTAGAACTCGATCTTCAGTGCAGTGTGGACTGGAGAGGGCAAGTCGGAGCTTAGGGAGACAGCCCACTAGAAGGTGAATGACAGCTGAGCTGCTCTGAAAGGTGAGCAGTGATGGCTCTTTAATTTTGACTTTGATTATAACTGAGGTTGAACAGTTTTCTCATTAGCCTACCATTTATATTTCCCTCTTTTGTTTATTTGTGTTCTTTGTCCATTTATCTATTGGGGTCTTAGTATTTTTCTTATCCATTTGTATGAAATTTTTATACATTAAAGAGATTAATTTCTTTTACCTATTTATTGAAATACAGTCCCAGTATGTTTGCCTTTTAATTTGATTTGTAGCTATCTGTTTGTTTATGAGATTCAGAGGTTAAATTGCTAGGTTGTTGATTCTGAACATCCTTTTCTTTCTAATTTCTTCCATTGCTTTTTTTTTTTTTTGGTAGGGGGTAAATAATTAGATTTATTTATTTAATGGAGGTGCTGGGGTTGAACCCAGGACATCATGCTAGGCATGTGATCTACCACTGAGCTATCCCCTCCGGTTCTTCCACTGCTTTTTAACTTAGAGATCCCTTGTCTCTTCAGAGATCTGATAAATATATATGTATATATATATATATGTGTGTGTGTGTGTGTATATATATATATATATATACACATGCATATTTTCCTTTTTTAATTAGAATTTATTTCTTTGAGCAGTTTTAGGTTCACAGCAAAATTATTTCTTCTGTTTTTTGGTTTAAATTTTTATATTAATTTTTTATTGGTGAAATTTATTTTGATTTATGCTCTAATGTAAAAAGCTAAACTGTTTAGTTTTCAAATAGCCCAAATACCATTTATGTATAATCTTCCCTTTCCCTTCTGAGTTGGAAGGCTCCTCATATATTAAGTGTATGTATGTGT